AACAAATAGAGATTGAAGCTGCTTAGGGAATTGGTAAAGAAAAAAATCAATGATTAACCGAAAACCGAAACAGTAGATTGACTTATTTTTATAATCACTTATTTTGATAATCACTTATTTGCACTATTTTTCTATTTTATTCAAAACTTAAACCCCATAATTGTTCCAATTATTGGTTAATAATAGTACAAGAATCCTTGAGAACGATACTCGAGTTGTCGTTACCGCTAATTATTTTTTCAAAATCACTCGTTTTTTATCCGTGCTCGACAGCGGGTCACTATAACCGAGTAATTTGCAACTTCTACCACATGTTCGTTGCTGGAAATAGATTTCTACATCTAATTGAACCTTTGACATATCACAAAATTCTCTTGATTGCTTCCAAGTGTGATGCCTTTGGCTTAAACTTGTTCACTATGCTCACACTATATGCCGAGTCTGGTCTCATTTTGCCCAAGTACCGCAATGATCTGATTAGCCTCTTATTCTGCGTTGGATTAATATCCTGGTCATCTTCATTATTTGACATCTGCAACCTTGGTTCATCAGGGGTAATGACCATATTACAATGCTTAATTTCAAACTTTTTCAATATCTCAAGTGCATACCCTCTTTGATGAATGATCAGTCCCTTTTCGGACTTGTTAAACTCATTTGTAAGGAAATATGTCATGAGACCAAGGTTATTCATCTCGAACTTCTTTATTAAACTAGCCTCGGTAATGTAATCTTTATTTTTGTATGTAATCAGTAAATCATCGATGTAGAGACATAAGATGATCACTCCTTTACTTGTATCATTCTTCACGTACACACCATGTTCGGATACACATTTATAAAATCCCATATCCTTTAGAAACCCATTAATTCTATTTTTCCAAACTCTTGGTTCTTGATTCAGACCATGCAACGCTTTCCTCAATCTATATAAATTGGATTCATGATTTTTCACAACAAAACCAGGTGGTTGTGCCACACACACTTCCTCTTCTAATGAACATTTTAAAAAAATGCATAATTGACATCCATCTGGTAGATAGAACATTTCTTGTTATTCGTAATTCCAACAACTAGCCTAATGGTTTCAATCCTAGCCACCGGTGCAAATACTTCTTCAAAGTCTATGTATTCTCTTTGTAGAAATTCGTTTGCCACTAATCTAGTCTTGTGCTTGATCACTTCACCTTTGAAATTTTCCTTCACTTAGTACACCCATCTTAGACCAATTGGCTTCTTTCCTTGAGGTAGATAAACTAGTTCCCATCTCTTATTTTACTCAATTGGATCCATCTCCTCCTTCATTGCACATATCCATTTTGGATCACTCAAAGCCTCCTCCATGTTCATTAGTTCAGATTCATCCCTGAGCATAAAATGAACAAGATCACCATTATTTTTTACTTTATTATCTAGGAACAACTCACAATATTGCAATCACTGAGGCGTGCCTCTCTGCCTTGTTGATCTTCTCACATTTTCTTCAACTTGGACTTCACTAGCTGCAATTTCTGGCCCTCCAAATACTACAAGAACAATTTCATCATTGTGGTAACCAGCTACAGCTGGTTAGTAATCGGGTAGTGCATATTTCCAGTCCCTTAATTTATAAAAATACACGTCCTTACTGATTACAATTCTCTTATTAACTGCGTCATAGAGTTTGTAACTACCCATTGAGTGATACTCAACAAGTATTATTTGATCTCCCTTGTTATCTAGCTTCTTTCTAAGATGGTTTGGAACATGTTCATACGCCATCGAACCAACACCCTCAAGTGACTCATATCTGATTTGAATCTGGACCATGATTCTTCGAGTGTAATGTTTTTCACTTTCTTTGTTGGACAACTATTCAACAAACATGTCTTGTGGACACCATTTTTCCCCATAATTATTTTGGCAAGTGCTTCCCTTTCAACATACTTCTCACCATGTTCATAAACGACCCATGCTTCCTCTCAGAAACTCCACTTTATTGAGGCGTATAGGGTGGACTTACCCCATGTAGAATGGCCTATTGATCACACAATTTTCCAAAATCATTTAGAGTTTTGGTTTTGTGATCACTTTGTATTTCTACCATGGATTTGAACTTCTTGAACACTTCTAGCACCTCATCTTTTCTTTTGATCAAGTAAGTCCATAACGTTTTACTAAAATCATCAATGAATGTGACAAAGTATCTATTTCCTCTAATTGAGTCAACTTGCATCTTTTCATAAACATATGAATACACCACCTCAAGATGACACTTGGTTCTACATCGTGCATCTTTTCTAAAGTTGTCTCTATGTTGCTTGACATGTGCATATTATTCACATACTTTAGTTGGCATAATGATCAATGACCTCCCCGTAACCATGTTATTTTTCTGTATAATATTCAAATCTCTAAAACTCATATGTCGAAGCCTATAGTGCCAAATCAGTTCTTTCGAACTAGTTGCAGTTGTGTGGCACCTATGCTTTATTACTTTCGATTTAAACTTAAAAGTTATGTTTTAATCCACATGGGCCTTCAGGATCAAACTCCCATTTGCATCCATAACTTTCAACACTTTGTTTTCCATGTGAATCTTACAATTCATTTTAAGCAATTGACCAATGCTTAAAAGATTGTACTTGATTCCAGAAGTATACATCACATATTTTATTAAGGAACTATCCCCATTATTCCTCAGGACTGATACATCAATAATCCGATGTGCTTCTAGTGTGTTGTCATTTGCAAATTTCACCTTATTCTTCATGGCTTGATTGAATTTTATAAACAAATGCTTCCTTCCTGTCATGTGCGTTGAGCACCCAGAGTCAAGATACCATTGATTGATGCATTTCGCATCTTCTTTCGTAGTCACCATCATGTTTTCAAATGATGGTAACTGGTTACAGTGGGCACATAACCGATTAGAGCTGCCTTATGAGCTATTTTCTGCTTCAATGATCACCATTAACAGTGTTCTCTCATCATCCTCTTGCCTTGCAAATTTTGCTTCAACTTCTTGTGAATCACTCTTGTTGGCATTACATTCACGAGAAAAATATCCAAGCTTTTGAAAATCGTAGCATTGGACATTGCTCTTATCATCTTTCCTTCTACCTCTTCTTCTTCTAGTATTGCCACCTTTGTAATTATTTGATTCACCGCCTCTCTTGCAAATACTTTCAGCCTTTTGGAATGTTAAATTGTTAGAATTTTATGAGTCCCTTCCACCATTATTTTGATAGTTTCCTCTACATCTATTCATGGACCATTTTCCCTTCGCATTCTTACCTTTTCCAACAAAATGGGTCTGCAGAGCAATCTCATCCTTTGCCTTGTCAACATTCCTCTTTTATATTCTCTGCTCACGAGTCTCAAGAGAACTTAGCAATTCTTCTTTACTCGTGGTTAAAAGATCCTTGGACTCTTCGATTTCAATCATTATGTTATCGAATCAAGATATTAAAGATATCAAGATTTTATTAATCACATACTGCTTAGTAATTGTGTCTCCACATGCTTTCACTTGATTCATCAATTTCGTGATTCTTGTAGTAAATTCACTAATGGTTTACTTCTCTTCCATGTGAATTAATTTCGGTTGTCTCTTGTGAGTTTGTAGCATCACCACCTCTTCTATATCAACTTATGCATAACTTTTCTCTAGAATTTTTCAAGCTTCCTTTGAGGATGTGCAGTCACCAACCTTCTCAAAGTTATCAGCATCAACACATTAATGAATGAGATACAAAGCCTTAAAATCTTTTGACAATCTCTTCCTTGTGTGCAACTTTTGCACCTTCTACAAGTAGATTAAAACCATTCTTGATCACTTCAAGAACATTTTGATAACCAAATAACACCTTCATCTGTTTGCATCACTTATTATAATTATTCGCATTGAAAATTGAGAGATTTGCTGGATACGTTCATTGAAGACGGAACATTTTGTTGATATGATAACTGGTTATAGGTCCGATGTTACTGATTATGCTGCACTTGAATTACATTTTTAGCATAAACATCTCAATTTATAAATTATGTGTGATATCCTGCTTTCCATGTCACAAAAGACAACTCTGCCTAAGATGATAAGAAATTTAGACACAAGTAGTTATAAGTCCGAATTACTTTATGTCTTGGAATTTTGATTTATTAAGTTATAACTCAGAGCTACAACTACTATTGAAGTTTCTCGCAAATATTATGTTCATTGATTGTGTTGCGTTTCTAACGAGTATTGTAGTGTCTCACACACACTAGAGACACTTGATTGAGTTGAGTAAACAAATATCAATGTTGATTGATTGTGATTTGAGTTTCTTACGAGTACTGTTGTCTAGCTATGTGCACCTCATTCTTTGATATATATTCCACATATGCTTACCACAAATAGCACACGGTGGCTATAGCTACCACACATTTGCATGCACTAAGACACACTCATCATGTCACACAGGAATCAACCAATATGTGCATGGAATCCAATTCTTTGAATGTCCACCAACACATCTCTATATGTAAATTTAAATAATTTCATCAATGATGTAGACAATTCTAAAATAGGAAAATCGACATGTTCTTGTGCATATTAATATCTCTTATACTTTCTTGCTTTCACTAGAAAGCTATCTCTTTTCAATGAGATTCGCAACTACAATTGAGTTTGAAAATTGAAGTTTTGGAATTTTTCTTAACTTCATTGTGATTGCAATGTTTTACTACTCCTCACATTTTGCGATAGAGAATTGCAACCGGGATAATTAAATAAAATTTGCTTCTAATTTAATTATTCTCTATTTTATGAACAATTTTTGTCTTTGTTTGTACAAGTGGAGTAAACGTCATGCCTTTGTTTGTACCAATTTTTGTCTTTTCCAAAATGTTTACATATAAATACATGATATCAACTTACTCATACTTTCATATCATGCATTTTGTAACTAACAATCTTTAAGTAAACATTCCAAGAAATTGGAGGGTTTCAAAGTGGACAAAAAGATAAAACACAAAAAATGATTGGGTGGGATGATGTGTACAAAGTAATAGTAGCAATGGTGCCACTCTATTTTGCACTAGTATTAGGTTATGGTTCCGTAAGGTGGTGGAAAATTTTCACAAGAGAAGAATGTGATGCAATAAACAAACTAGTTTGTTACTTCACATTACCCCTCTTCGCCTTCGACTTCACCGCGCACATCGATCCATTCAAGATGAACTTCTTATTCATAGGTGCAGACACTCTATCGAAGCTAATCATCGTTGCGGTGATTGGCCTTTGGGCCAAGTGTAGTGGCAAAGGAAGTTCTAGTTGGTCTATAACAAGTTTCTCTTTGTGCACTCTAACGAATTCGCTCGTCGTTGGAATGCCAATGGTGAAACCTATGTATGGAGCCTTAGGTGTGGATCTTGTGGTGCAAGGTTCGGTTGTTCAAGCTATTGTTTGGCTCACTTTGCTTTTATTTGTGTTGGAATATAGAAGAACGGGTTTAGAAGGTACTATTAGTAGTACTAGTTTGAAACCAAAGGCTAGTAGTATTAGTAGTGTGATGATGGGTGAAGATGAAGAAAGGAAGGATTTAGAGGGAAATAGAATTGGTATGGATGTGATATTACAAGATGGAAGTAGTAAGCTTCCTTTCTTTGAATTGATGAAACGTGTGTGGCTTAAGTTTATAGTGAATCCAAATTCCTATGCTTGTGTTATTGGTATTTCATGGGCTTTCATATCTAATAGGTATTCTATTTTTTAACTTAATATACTTTTGTTTCGCCTCATTTTTTGGACGAATTTAAATGGTGCAAATCTAAAAAGTATTTTTTTAGTACACTTTGATCTTAGAGTCGAAAAAATTCTCCATTTTTTTTTGAGTTGGATTTTTATTAAAAGAATTCCAATCACGCCCTTTTTTTTTTTTTTAGACTATCTGAAGTATTAAAAACTGATATAGTATATATGATTGATGAAGGTGGAATTTGGAATTGCCAAGCATGGTAGATGGATCTATATTGATCATGTCAAGAGCTGGAACAGGCACTGCCATGTTTAGTATGGGTGAGAGATGACTACTTATTTTAGATTAATTATTTTATTATTATTGTTATTTAAAATTGAAATTAAAAATATATATTGATATTTATTCAGGTATTTTCATGGCACTTCAAGAAAAAGTGATTTCTTGTGGACCAAGTTTAACCATATTTGGTTTAGTTTTAAAGTTCATTGCTGGACCAGCAGCAATGGCTATTAGTGCCATTGTTGTAGGATTGCGTGGTGACGTTTTACGAATTGCCATTATTCAGGTTTAAATTTTTTATTATTTATAAAATATCATTTAATTTTATTTATGAAAAAAATAAAACTAAAAAATTATCTTCTTCTATTTATATATTGGGTGCAGGCAGCAATTCCACAATCCATCACTTCCTTCATTTTTGCTAAAGAATATGGATTGCATGCAGACGTTCTAAGCACTGCGTAAGTTTATTAATATTTCTTTAATGTTGAAGAATGATTTTTTATACATTAGTAATTAATTTTACAAATTTTGCTAAAATTATGTTTTATGTAAATTTAAATTTTTTTTTTTATTTTCATTTAAATGAAATTTATTTAATTAAGTGCATATATATACTAATTACAACAATTTCTAACTCATATCTAATAATATGAAGAAAAAATAAATTATTTTAAGTGCATATATATACTAATTACTAAATGTATATTAATCATAAAGTTTGTGATCTCTGCAGGGTGATATTTGGAATGATTGTTTCTCTACCGATCTTAGTTGCCTTCTATGCAATATTGGAGTTCATTCATTGATGAGTAATGTTACAATGACACTTAAAATGACACACAGTACAATATAGTTTTCATTATATTTTCATAAAGATACCTTTTTGCAACTTAAGCCTCAATATCAAGAACAACAATTCAAAATTTCTTCTTCAAGTTGATCAGCTAAAAATCCATCATGGATATCTGCAGGTGCTTGAATTTATTTTGATCAGGATGGTTTCTCTTAGGCTCCTAGTGAACCATCGCATCAAGTGTTTCAAAATCATGAAACTAACTATTCATGTTTTCTTCACGCTGACGTTATGTTAAACAGTTATATTTTTTAGGGGAATTTTATATATGAGATTATTTGTTATCGAAAGTGTATAATTTCTCACATGTATGGTGGAAAGGTGTGTCTTGATTGACTAAATAATCATAATGGAAAGGATAATTGTAATGCAACAATTGTGCAAGATAATTATGAATCATTTGATGTCTTAGTGGTTTCAAGCAGCGACTCTAGCAAGGAGTGGATTACGAATCCATGGTGTACTTGGCACATGACTCCAAACAAACACGTGTTTGAGGAATTATGTGACCAAGATGGTGAATCAGTGATGTTTGGAAACAACAAAGCTTGCAAGATTGTAGGAATTGGATCTATTAGATTCAAGCTCCATGATGAGTCAATCACTATTACAGAAATGATTTTTGGCAGCGCATGAAAAGACAACGCTTTTTGAAAAAGCGCTACTAAAGAGTCACGAAAAAAAAGAGAAAAAAATAGTAGACTTTAGACAGCGCTTTTAGAAAAGCGCTGCTAAAGGTGACACCTATGAAAGCGCTTTATAGAAAGCGCTACTAAAAGTATGCCCTACGAAAGCGCTTTTAGAAAAGCGCTGCTAAAGGCGGCACCTATGAAAGCGCTTTATAGAAAGCGCTACTAAAAGTATGCCCTACGAAAGCGTTTTTAGAAAACGCTGCTAAAAGTATGCCCTACGAAAGCGCTTTTAGAAAGCGCTGCTATAGGGGTCACCTACGAGAGCGCTTTCAGAAAGCGCTGCTATAGGGGCATTCTAAGAAACCGTTTTTAGAAAGCGCTGCTATTGGGGTCACCTACGAGAGCGCTTTCAGAAAGCGATGCTATAGGGGCATTCTAAGAAAGCGCTTTTAAAAAAGCGCTGCTATAGGTGGTATAAAAGACAACACTTTTATAAAAGTTCTGCTATAGGTCCTGCCTTATCAGACCTTAGAGAGCGATTTTATAAAGCGCTGCTAAAGGCCATGCAAAAGCGTTGTTGTAGGTTTAAGTGGCATAAATTAAAAAAAAAACCAGAAAAACTCATAAACAGAAACAATGGTGATTCTCCCTCTCGCAACCTAGAAAAACCCTTAAAAACTCAGAAACAGAAATCTTCCATTTCCGCCTCCGTCGCCGTCCGTTTCCGTCTGTTTTTGGCATTCTTCCATTTCCGTTTCCGTCGCCGTCCGTTTTCATCCGGCACCACTTCCATTACCGCCTCCGTCCGTCTGTTTTTGGCAATATTCTTCCATTTTGTCCGTCTATTTTTGACATTGTTCCATCTTCGTCCTCCACCCATTCTGTACGAAATCTACATGTTTGTTTTCATACTGTATTTTGCTGCAATGGTATATGTAATGGATTTGTTTTCTTACTGAGTTTGCTTTTAAAAATTTCAGCAATGATGAGTAAAATATATATAAGTGTGGCATTATGTTTTTGTTTGTTCTTGGTGGCATTATGTTGTTGTTAGTTCTTTGATACAAGATTAACATTTTGTTTAGGTTTGATATTGTTTCCACTGTTTTGATATAACTTTGATATTGTCCAATGCCATGCCATGTAGAAATTTTTTAAAGAGTTAACAAAGTTAGAAATTCTATTAAAGTTTGTTGATGTTATTGATGTTATTGTTGTTGATGAAAGTAAATGAATTATTTATGTCTGTTAATTTTGATCGTTTCCAAGAATTATTTAATGTTGATGATGTTCCTAGATCCTTAGTCTTTCGAACTCTCTTACTTATTCTAAGTTCGGATCGTTTTTCAATAATCCATGAAGAATCTTCCTCATGATATTCTTCATTAGTGACAAACTTTTGAGTTGTGTTTTAACAACCCGTGGAAAACCTTCCTTACGAGATTCTTCTTTTGTGGAAATCTTGAATTCATTATCCTTCGTGATAAGGTTCTAAAAGAATTTTGCCCCTCAGAATTCAATAATTATATTAAACTTCAAATTCATAAATCTATATAACTCATGATTCATTTTCGAATAATCTTTATATGACTTATAATAATAATTTTCATCGAATAAATACATGTTATTCCCTTAGCATCAATATCATAATTAAATCACATACCTTAGCATCATAAACTTTAATATAATAACTCAAAATTAATCATAATAATAATAGTACTAATGATATTTAGATCGGATAGAATAAAAGATAATAAACTTTAATATAATAACTCAAAATTAATCATAATAATAATAGTACTAATGATATCAATCATAATCAACTAATATCTTCACGTAATAATACCCTTCATTATGGGTCGAGGGCGGCCGCCAAAAAAATCGGTGCCTCCACCACCATTATCTCCGGTGGTCTCTACTCCGGTAACTCAATCGGACTTGCGAAGCCACAATGTCAGCAAGAATCTCAGCACAACGGAAATTGCGGGAATCAACAACCTTGGAGAAACCTCAGATGCTCGTGAAGACGGAAGTTTTGAGGAGAAGTGCAACGAAATAGAACTGGAAAACCCTAAGTCACCTCCAACTCCTGAAGAGGGAAGAAAGCTATGGGCTGATGTGTTAAAGGACAATAGGAATCCGGCGAAAGGTCGTACTATGAAGTTCATACCCCCTCAAGTCGTGGAAGGGAAAATCGAGGTTCAAATTGAAGAAGATGATGTCAGTTCTGAAGTCAAGTTCTGGGAATCTTCTCTGATTCTTTATGCAATGAGAGCGGATTTGAGTATGAATGCTGTCAAGAATTTTATGACCAGATCTTGGAACTTTGTTCAACTTCCGGACATGTATTTCAATGATGAAGGGTATTTCATTCTCCGGTTCAAATCTTTCACCGATCGAGACGAAGTTATGCTGAGAGGACCATACATGTTAAGAAACATTCCTTTGTTGATTCGTGAATGGAGGCCAGATTTCAAGATCAAGGATGAACTCTTACGAACCCTACCTATTTGGGTAAAACTTCCCCAACTCCCTATCGTTTTGTGGGGTGATACAAGCCTGAATAAGATTGGGAGTGCCCTGGGTAAGCCTATTATGACAGATGAATGTACTACTAATAGACTGCGAGTATCTTATGCGCGTATTCTTGTTGAAATGGATATTACAAAGGAGCTACCTCAATCAATCACCATTACTGATCCTGCAGGAGAAAAGATGCAACAATCAATTGAGTATGAGTGGAGACCTCTTTTCTGCAACAAATGTCAAAAGGTAGGTCACTGCTGTGATAAGCCTAAGATGAGGAAACAATGGATACCTAGGAATGTGAAGCAACCTGAAGCTAATGTGATGTCAAATAAGGCTGAGGATGATAATAAAGGGCCTATTGAAGTAGGAAATGTCAATATGGATATAGTTCAGATCAGGAAGGGCAATGCTAGTTCTACTGCTGCTGAGACTATCAGAAATAAGGATGTGGAAACAGTTATGGATAAATGGACTGAGGTTATTAACAGTGGTAGAGATAGAGGTAAAAAGAAAGGTAATGCTGGAGCTGCAGGTGTGCTTTCATATGATAATGGGTTTGAGGCTCTAGAGATTTTGAAGGATCTCCTAGAGGCTCAAAACACTGGCCAATGATTGTCTCTTAGAATGTCAGGGGGCTTAATAAAATGGGGAAGCTAAAGGAGACTAGCTCCCGTCTCCTAAACCTTCATCCCAACATTGCAATACTTATTGAAACAAGAGTTAAATGTGATAAAGCAAAGAAAGTTAGAGACTGTCTTAACCTCAGAGGTAAATATATTGATAACTATCAATCTCATTCCAATGGCAAGATTTGGTTTTTTTGGGATGACACTTATAAGGACATCAGATTGGTGAGTTGCACATCTCAGATGATACACTGTGGAATATATGATGCCAATGGTAACTTCCAAAACTGGATGACAGCTATTTATGCTATGAATCAGTTGACCAAAGAAGGAAATTATGGGATGATTTGGTGTACATACATAACAACCAACAAGGGCCTTGGTTCCTTATGGGGGATTTTAATAATGTGACAAAATCCATGGATAGGATTGGGGGAAACTTGGTGACTGAGAGAGAATATGCTGATTTAAGAAACTTGATGGATCATGCTGGGCTGTTTGAGAATGATAGCATAGGTGATTATTTTACCTGGACAAATAAGCACTCTGTAGGTACTATTTACTCAAAAATTGATCATGTTCTTGGTAACATTGATTGGTTGCAGGGAAACACTGATATGAATCTAGAGATTCTCCCACCTAGTATTTCTGATCACTGCTTACTTTGTTTGTCTGACCAAAAAAGAAACAGGATTGTACACACCAACTTCAAGTTTACTAATAGTGTGATAAAGGTGGCTGGGTATCAGGACATTGTAAAGCAGAGTTGGAATAAAGTGTGTGTGGGAAGACCTATGGCTCGTTTGTGGTACAAGCTGCTGAGGTTGCAGGCTCCTCTTATCAAATTGAGCAAGCAGTTCTCTCACCTCCATATGTCCATTGTTAAAGCCAGGACTGAACTACTCAAAGCGCAGGAAGAGTTAATGGTGGACAGAATGAATGTAAGGAACATAGATAAGGTGAGAAAGTTTACTGATGAAGTGATTTACCTGCAGGACCTCAATGTTAAAATGTTAAGACAGAGATCAAAATTGGATTGGCTTAGAGAAGGTGATTCAAATTCAGCTTTCTTCTATGCCTACCTCAACTCTAGACATGCAGTTACTCACCTCAGTCAACTTCAAAAGGAGGATGGCACTTATATTCAGAATATGCCTGACATAGAA